GATTGTAGAACCTCCGATTCAGGAGGAGCAATGTGGTTTTGGTCCTGGCCGTGGAACACTGGACCAGCTCTATACCCTTAGGGGATCCTGGAGGGTGCTTGGGAATTTGCCCAACCAGTCTGCATGTGTTTCGTGGATTTGGAGAAGGTGTTTGACCGCGTCTCTCGGGGGGCCCTGTGGGGGGTCCTTCGGGAGTATGGGGTACCAGGCCCTCTAATACAGGCTGTTAGGTCCCTGTATGACCGGTGTCAGAGCTTGGTCCGCATTGCCGGCAGTAAGTCGGGCTCGTTCCCAGTGAGAGTTGGACTCCGCCAAGGCTGCCCTTTGTCACCGATTCTGTTCATAACCTTTATGGACAGGATTTCTAGGAGCAGCCAAGGTGTGGAGGGCATCTGTTTTGGTGGCCTGAGGATCAGGTCTGTGCTTTTTGCAGATGATGTGGCCCTGTTGGCTTCATCAGAACGTGATCTTCAGCTTTCGCTGGAGCGGTTCGCAGCCGAGTGTGAAGCAGCTGGGATGAGAATCAGCTCCTCTAAATCTGAGACCATGGTCTTGATTCGGAAAAGGGTAAAAGGCCTTCTCCGGGTCACGGATGAGGTCCTGCCCCAAGTGGAGGAGTTTAAGTTTCTCGGGGTCTTGTTCATGAGTGAGGGAAAACTGGAGCGTGAGATCGACAGGCGGATTGGTGCTGCATCTGCAGTGATGCGGGCATTGTACCGGTCTGTCGTGGTGAAGAGAGAGCTGAGTCAGAAGACGATCTGGACTGTGTCAGGTGACTCAGAGCTGAGCTGTGTGGGAAGAATTTATCTATGTTTGCATGTGGATCAAATTTCTGTACAATGCAGTTGAAAAAGAAAGTAAAGTTTATACACAAAGCAGTTTTTTTTCTAATTGTAGACCCCTAAGAAGGTGCTATACAAATACAGGTCATTTACCATTAAAAATAAGAAATAATATGCTAAAGCTGAAAGCATTATAAGACAGCTGCCAATCCCCACAAAATCAACTTGAGGCCAGACTTTTTCCAAAACTCAAAGGTTCGATTTTTAACTTACCATGCTGAATGTCAAATTTGTGAGTGCAACTAAAAAAGATGAAAAGGTGCTGCTGGTTCGGAGGGACTATACGAGAATGTCCTTTTCTCAGTAATATTTACAGGCAAGGACAAAATTGTTGTTGCCCTTCAGTCAATGAAAGAAAAACCACAATGTCCACAGAAATAACTTGAATCTGAAAAAAATTAATAAAAAATAAAAATTCTGCTAAATTTAACCTATGAAAAGCGGGCACGGCTTTTCAACCATGCTTCAACAGAATTATTAAATAAATAAATAAACTCACTGAACAGGCCTGCACAGAAATGATGGGACCCCTAGAAAAGACTGAAAATATGTGATCAAAGGGACAAGCTAATTCAAGGTGTGTTCACTAATTAGCATTAGCATCGGGTGTCTACCATCTTTGAATCAGTCAGCGGGCTTATATGCAGGGATCCAGGTAGTTGCTGTGTTGTGTGGACACATGGTGAGAACCACACTCAACATGGACCAGAGGAAGTTAAGGCAAGAGTTGTCTCAGGAGATTAGAAAGTAAATTAGAAAGCATGTTAAAGCTATGAGACCATTTCCAAGCATGACTATCATCACAACTTTTCTGTTGTGGGGGTTTGTAAACACACAAACAAAAACTGTAATATCACAAAATAAAAGGGAGAAAACTAAATGTTTGGCAATGGTAAAAAAAGAGAGAAAACATGGACGTAATTTTGGGGGGGGGACAGGGGGGACATGTCCCCCCCACTTTTTCCAAAGTCAAGTTTTGACCCCTGCACTTTTTACCATCCAAAAACAATATTACGCTATATTAAATTGACACTGGTTGAGCTCTAGGACCAAGCGGAAAACAACCATTTGTGTTGAAGCCTGTTTCCCATTAGAACATACTGTAAAGATCCCCCCCCCCCCCCCCGTGTCCCCCCCACTTCTAAAGTGAAAATTACGTCCATGAGAGAAAACAACATCATTAAACACTTTTATCACACCAGGTTTTGTCTCATGATTCAGAAATGTCTTTTATCCCCCCACTTTACCTCTGAGGACAAACTGATGCAGCGCTAAAACACCAGCTGCAAATGGTGTCAAGTTCCTGAACACTTACTTAGATGTTACACCTCTGCCTTTATTTACCGAAAACATTTTCACCATAACATATGTATTTACACATTTTATTCTTTCTTTTGTTTTCTGATTAATTTAATTAGCTGTAATTAAAGACTGGATGATTTGATAAAAGGCTAAATGATACGTGGGCTTGGCGTCTGATACTACTTCATGTAGCCGTGTTATGTCCAGGTCCAACTCTGCTGCCTTTTAACACATGAAAGACTCTTTCTGTTCATGCAACATGAACCAAGACATGAGTTTGTCTCTGTGTAAATGTAAGATGGGAAATGTTTTAAAACAAGGTCATTTGCATGCCACCATGAAGATTTTCAGCACCCCAGCTATCCATGGGTTAATCGTGCATATTCAAACAGAAGTGATACCTTATTTTGGGTGCACATTAATCATTTATTCACATATTCATATATATTATTCACCACCTCCAAAGACTTCTTGTTCTTATTGACAGAATAGATTTGTCTTGCACTGGGTTTGACTTTGCGCCTGCTGCTAGAGCTAAATCCCCAAGCTCGCCTTAGTCTCCTCATGAGACAGCATCTAATGAAACATTTAAATATTTATGTGTGGAAAGTTGTTTACCTTCGTCTCTGTGGTGTACTGCAGGGTGGGCGATGGAAGGGTGGGGGAATCTGGCTCACTCTGTTCTTTTTGAGCAATGTCCTTTTCCTCTTGTTCGACTCCTTCCTTCACTTATCAGTGTTGGTGAATTAATGAAGGTGAAGACAAAAGAGAGAGACTTTTATTTTTTACAGTGAAAAGATGAAGCCGTATGTTCTATTATTACTTTGTCCCTGCCCCATCCTACACCTTTTGTCATTGGATTCCAGACGCACAGCACAGGTCACTTTTGAAACGAGACAAATGTGTGAATAAAAGCACGGGAATTTTCTGTCCTTGGGTGTGTTTATCATGCAAGAGACAAAGACATAGCCAACAATAAAGACCACAGTAAAGTCGTAAAAGTCCTGTCTGTCTGTCTGTCTGTCTGTCTGTCTGTCTGTCTGTCTAGATTAACCGCACGATTGTGCAAGTTCTCCCACTTAAAATGATGACAGAGGTCA